GTCTGTATTGTGAGCTTAGCACTACGTAATTGCCAGCAGTTGTTGACATGGGGTAAGTTCTGTAGTCGGGGCGCTCGTTTCTGTTGACAGGGCGGGGCGCCCTGCTTGTATAATGGCAGGGGAAACGTTATTTTTCCATACTTTCCTAACGGAGCACTTCACTCTCAGACTGCAGGTTTACTTTTGGTTCCTAGAATTTCCAAGAGTAGAATGGGAGGCAGATTTTTCGGTTATCAGGCTCTTCTCTTGTGGAACCAATTTCCAGTTTTTGTCTGTTAGGCTGACACGTTGTCTACTTTTAAGATTAGGCTTCCGTCTTGCCTTTTTCATAAATCCTACAGTTGGGGTCGGCTTGGGTGTAACTGTCCCCCATTACACGTGTAATCGGGGACAGTGTCCAACTTTCCCCCTTTTACAATGCTGTTGTTGCTTGTATCACTCAGCCCCCTGTGAATAGCAAGCAACCATCAGGGCACTTAAGACCAATTGTTAGGATGATGGTCCTCCATCATGTGAACTGCTAGTTCTGGATGTCAGCAACAAACTGGTTGATCCACTATGAGAAGGTTCCATTTATAAAACTGAGTTTATTGCAGCTCCTCAGATGGAAGAATTCTTTTGGATAAAAGACTAAATGTTTCAACAAGAAGAATCTGTCCTGAGGACCTGACTTTACTTATTTAGATGTTTCTACCTGAATTATTGAGTATGCATCAGGATTATAATTTTTTATTATTAAACCTTTATTTTACCAGGAAGAAATCCATTGAGATGATTAATCTCTTTTAAAGGATGTCCTGGGCAATATGCAAAAGGATAAGTTCTGATAATGTTTGCTAAAGTGTGATTCCCATGAAAACCAACGGGACCTCAACCTCCCCATGAACCTTCATTCACTCACACACTTTAAAGTCACTGATAGGGTCAAGTCAAGCTTATATTCCATTGTTAGATTAAAAGCTGTCACCGTCAGAAAAATAAAAACAAATTGTGTGGGGGCTCGTCCGGGAGCACTTCGCCTACCTCCAGATTTTCACAAAGTTGCAAACCTGCAGCGAACTGACGAGTGACACTGTTCACAATTTGGGGGAATGTGAGGGTCACTGAGAGTAGGGGAGGTAGAAGAAAGGTGTTGGGAGATGGGAGGAGAAGAAGAGTTATCAGTCATGGTGTCAGTCTGCGGGGCAGGTTGTGATAAGAGAGGCAGCCTGTCTTTCAATCAACACACACACAAAATGGGGGAGGGAGACTGCATCGCCTCCCTCTACCACTCATGAGTGAATGTATGTTGAAACAGGGATTTGGACTGCATGGCAGCCATTTGTCGACTGTATTCCTGGACGGAGACGAGAGGGGGCAGATGCAAAACCAGCAGAAGAGATTCACGCCTTTCTGCTGCAGGTTAGGGGTTCGATTTCACTCTTGTGGCGCTTCAAGTCCCTCTGGATGTTTACTTCATTTCAATGAGTTTCTTTGATTCATTCAAAACAGCCCTAATTGGAAATATCTAAACTATAAAAATGATCATAAATATCTACAAAATGAGTCAGGTTTTCATGTTACTGGTTGACAGTTGGGAACAGCTTATTCCTATCAGTTCTGTTCTGGCACTTTCTACTGCAGAGTAATGTTTTTTAACAGACCTGGTTTGGGCCTGCACCATTCAAAAGTACAGTAAACAGTGGTATCAGAACAAGGGTGTACTGTACATGCTCCCCAGCGGGCCACAAAGACACAGTTAGTCTTCTCACAACATTCCCTCTGCCTCGCTTACAGGTCAGCCTCCATTAGCCATGCGTTGACCCAATATTTGGGGGGTTGTGCGCTGATGGTGGAAGGGGAGAGATGTTGACAAATGGAAGAGTATCAAATGACCCTTGGGGAATGGGAGGGGGTACCGGACTGAAAGTGACCCACTGTTGCTTGTAGTCCTTTTACTGTCCATTTTATCTCCTTTATCTCAGTGAAAGGATCAAAACTGGGGTGAAGGAAAGATCACTTTGTGTTCCTTACAAGTGTTTTATCAGATAACATGGAACCCGAGCACATGCATACAATAAAACACATCATAATAAAGCGTGCGGCAGATTGGTTTGCGCCAGGAAAGACCGCAACCCAGAGACTAGGATTAATCGATAACGTTGACGTCTGACAACCACCACACCATTGGGGTAGAGGCGGGCTTTAAAATGACTTAAAGAAATGCAAGGAAGCTGAAAGTTGATGGCATCTCGTCAAGCTGGGGGAGCAGCAGGGGATGACCGTTGACTGAAGTGACAGACAATGACGTAGACATGACACAACCTTCATTACCACGCTTTTTGTGCATCTATATGGAGTACAAGTTCATGAAAAGGTTATGATCAATGAGTATCTCAAAGACTGGGACTGTTGGGGACTACTTAGACACACAATTTTAAGAAAATGTGCAAATCTTCTATTAGGATCCCACTGAATTGGTACTGCACCATGACACATTTTGTGTAGAATGCATCCGGTCTTTGTTACCACGCTAATGAACTTTAAAGTCTTTTAAATAAGTATAAAACTTTGATGCACATTTTGTTTTGCAAGTGTAAGCAGTGCGTATAGTGTCAGTTTACAAATTCATACACATTTCCACACAGTGGCAAAAATGAGAAGGTGGTAACTAACAAATAATATCATCTCTAGTGTTTAGGAAGACTAAAGTCAGAGGGGATCCGGACTCCTTTATTTAACCAGACAAATAAGATTTAAGAGGAAGGTAAAAGAGAAGGTACGGGAGGAGCAGTCCAAAGAAGAAGACTGAACCAGGTTATGGATGGACCAACCTCAAAGAATCCAGACTCCATGTCCTCCATGGAAGACATTTATTTTTTTATTCATTTAACTTTTTATTTATACAGGTTAGTCTCAAGGATTCATTTTCAAGAGAGACCTGTTTTACACAGACAACATTTAAAGTACAGACAACAATAGCAATAAAAAGCAGTTAAAATAAAAATAGTGTTGTAAAACACTGTTACTGTTAGCAGTGTGTTTCTGTTAGCGGTGAGGTTCTTTTAGCACCGGGGTTCTGTTAGCAGCGTGGTCCTGTTAGCAGCGTGGTCCTGTTAGCAGCACGGTCCTGTTAGCAGCACGGCCCTGTTAGCAATGTGATTCTTTTAGTAACATGTTCCTGTTAGCAGCGTGGTCCTGTTAGCAACACGGTCCTGTTAGCAGCACGGCCCTGTTAGCAGTCCTGTTAGCAGCATGGTCCTGTTAGCAGCACGGCCCTGTTAGCAGCACGGCCCTGTTAGCAGTCCTGTTAGCAGCATGGTCCTGTTAGCAGCACAGCCCTGTTAGCAATGTGGTTCTGTTGGCATTCTGTTAGCAGCATGGTCCTTTAAGCAGTGCAGTCCTGGTAGCAATGTGGTTCTTTTAGTAACATGTTCCTGTTGGCAGTGTGGTCCTATTAGCAATCTGGTTCTGTTGGCAGCATGGTCTTGTTAGCAGTGTGGTCCTGTTAGCAATGGGGTTCTGTTGGCAGCATGTTCTTGTTAGCAGCATGGTCCTGTTAGCAGCACGGCCCTTTTAGCAGTACGGCCCTGTTAGCAATGTGATTCTGTTGGCATTTTGTTAGCAGCATGGTCCTTTAAGCAGTGTGGTCCTGTTAGCAATGTGGTTCTTTTAGTAACATGTTCCTGTTAGCAGTGTGGTTCTATTAGCAATCTGGTCCTGTTAGCAGCATGGTCCTGTTAGTAACACGGTCCTGTTAGCTGCACAGCCCTGTTAGCAATGTGGTTCTGTTGACATTCTGTTAGCAGCATGGTCCTTTAAGCAGTGCGGTCCTGTTAGCA